CCTATTCAGCTGAATTCCTGAGACCAGACGAAATCCAGGTCTCCTGCTCCTCTGCCATCTTGCCTAAACAGGCCTTTTCTTAAAACACTCATGGGAGTGTTTGAGAAATAAGGAGCTTTGATCTAGGTGATCAGTAGGAAAATAGTAGCCACCATCGAAAAGGTAGAAAGCTATTACAGAGATGACTTGAGCTGTGAAATTAAAGCTCAGGAAATCACCTCTGAGGAGCCAAAATTCATCTCTGTACCACAAAAAAAAAAAAAAGTTTTAAAATTAATACTGCCCAACAAATGAATGGTCAACCTTTCAAGAAAATATTTAATCAAATGCTGATGAGGATTGGAAAGATATGGTTTAGAGGAAACTTTTATGAGGTAGCAATTTTAAACTACATAATCCCTAAAGTCTGTTTCCACTCAAGTGTGCCTTTATTTGGGCACATATTGGGAAATAAGCTTGTGTTATATCCATAACACAACCTGTCATCTATATTACCAACCTTGTGTCTGACTTATCATCTTTTTAAATAATTCAATAAAAGACTAAATTTTTCTCAAGCTGGAATTATAAATATATATCTTCACAAAGTTCATAGGATATGTTACAATCATAAATTGTAGCTTTCCAGGAAGAAAAATAAAATCTTGTCTAATTTGAAATTAGAGTATCTCATATTATTCTTAAAAGTAACATGCGATAAAACTTCTAGCCTTGGGTGAAAGCAGTTTCCCAAATATCTCAAACGTCTTGTGCCTAGGGGCGCTTGGATGGCTCAGTTGGTTAAGCGTCTACCTGTGGCTAAGGTCATGATCTTGGAGTCCAGAGATCGAGCCCCATGTTGGGCTCCCTGCTCAGCAGGGAATCTGCTTCTCTCTCTCTCCCTCACCCTCTGCCCCCCACTCATGCTGTCTCTCCAATAAATAAAATATTAAAAACAACAACAACAACATCTTATTCCCAAGTGAATCAGCCTCTGCCTGGTTTGAGATCACCTTCTCTGAGGATTTTCCATCATCTGGTGCCTTCAAAACACCTCCAACATGGAAGACTTCTTCTTGCTCCTTCCAGTACAGTACCAACACCATTTCACCTCACATCCCATTCACTGTGGTGTCATTATAAATTGTGTATACTATATTTCAACAAATAGCCCTACATTTATATCCTATTTAGACAAAACCTAAGTGAACAGAAGTATAACCACATGCAGATAGGTTGAGGGACAACTATTATCCTGTCCACCTCTCAGTGCAGAGACTGAACATAAGTCACTTTTGGGAAAGCATCGTGCAACTCAATATCTCACTGCCAGAAAAGGAGATAGGTGAAGTCCTTTCTAAGCAATAGTGCTCACATCTATTCAGTGAACCACCATCAAGTAACAGGGCTCTTTGAAGAACATGAAGAAACACTTATACCTTTAATTTCATTATACAAACCAAAGAAAATGTTACTGGCAGAAAATATGATGTTCGCTATGTAAAATAATGTGCATGAAAACACACACAGACACACAAACAAATCCACACACACTGTCCACTGAACTTTACTGGCCACTTCAAAATTTTTCTTGTCTGTGTTTTGTTTATACATTTTATTCTCTAGAAGGCAACATATGAATAGCAGCAAGTATAAAAAGCTTAAGAAAAATTATAGAAAAATAACCTAAACCTAAAATTGGGATAGTTATATCCATTCACTTTATAAAGTGAGGAAAGATGGGCATTATTTAACTTAGCAGTGAAACATTTGAAAACATTTGAAAAAAGAGACACAGGGTAGCCTTATTACAAAGTAACAGCTCTAAGGATGAACTGCTCTGCTATCAGGAAATCCAAGGGGAAGAAGAAGGGAAAAGTTTAAATAGACATTAAGGACACTCAATGGATTATGTAATAATAATAAAAATAATAAAATTTTGTATAGCATTTTACAGACTGAAAATGCATTTCCATGTACATTGCAGTTCTGATGTTTACTGCCTCTTAGAGACGAGAAACTGAGGCAAAGAGTGGCATGTCCACCTAAAGCCATAGTCCCTGTACCAACCTCACAGCAGGTGGTATTTGTAGAGCTGGTCCAATGGAGTCTATTAACCGTGTCAGGGTCTAACAGAAGCACAGAGCTCAAGGCTCAGAAGGAGCAAGCTGATATTTGCTTTTACCTCTTCCCTTTCCAGGTTTTCTAAATGGTCCAGGATCATATCTCTTGTGTCTAGACTCTCAAGTTTCAAACCTCAAGTTTCTTCAAACATCTGAAGTCCAGGTTTCCTTTTTTCTGTTTTGTTTGGTTGGTTTTTGTTGTTGTTGTTGCTGTTGTTGTTGTTGTTTTTTTTTTTTCCAGGAGTACTTACCTTTTTAAGATCCCAAATTTTCAATTATGGTTGATTTATATACACAAAGGGAATGAATTTCAGTAACTACAGAACTATGGTTGTTTGAACAAATTCATCGTCAGTTTTCCAAATCCCAAGTGCTTTAAGCAAAGCCTTTGGCCAACTAATCTGCCTTGGTATAGTGGGCTGGCAGGAGAACGCCATGTGCCTTAGGACACAGAACATTTTGTCTCGTATCAGGGTTTATGGTGTCAACAAGAGAAGGGCACCGGAGCTCCCTCGGTAAAGACACAAGTGAGGGAGCCTATGACCAAGGCCAGTGGTACAGTTTGGTATTATGAGTTTTGTTTTGTTTTGAGTTGGAAGGTCAAGTTGAGAGGCATATATGCCCTGGTATAAGGTTTATCAACTTTACTCAGAAGAGTGCAGCTTGAGGGAAGATTCCAAAAGGAAAATGCCACTAACTAAAGAATCTTTGCCCCTCATGTGGAAGCCCTGTCAGGCCAGCCACACAATAGTGCAGGTGTGGCGGTAGGTCAGAAGGCTGTGCAGATGTGTTCATAGTAGAGGGTGTGTGTAGTTAGAACCATAGGGCACCGATACTGGAGTTCCTAAGTGCTGGGAAAGTTCATAATGTATTTGACTATGGAAGTGATCCTCAAACTCTTTGTGGTCTCAAAAACACTTTCTTTACATGGGTGCCTCAGTGTCTCAGTCGAGTGTTCCAGCTCTTGATTTCGGCTCAGGTCATGATCTCAGCGTCATGGGATCGAGCCATGAGTTGGGCTCCATGCTCAGTTTGGAGTCTGCTTGTCCCTCTCCCACTCTTCCTCCCCTGTTCATGTTTTCTCTCTCTCAAATAAATAAATAAAATATTTTTTTAAAAAGCCCTTCACATTCAAATTTAGTGAAGATCCTGTGCTTTGTTTAGGTGGCTTATATCTGCTAATATGTGCTTTCAAACTTAAACTTGAGTCATTTGTAAAGTACCTTGTAAAATATTTATTTTTTTCTATTCATTAAAAATAACAACATATCAACTGCATGTTCACATAAATAATACATTTTTATAAAAAACAAATATATTCTCAAAGCATAAAATAGTGAAAAGAATGATATTTTATATTTTGTAAATCTGTTTAATGCCTATCTTAATAGAAACAGCTCGATCCTTGTATCTGTTTCTATATTCATCTATTGTGACACTACACAGCATAATGTCTCTGGAAAATGCCACTGTCTACTAATAGAGAATGAGAGTAAAAAAGGAAAAGAAAAGCATAGTATTATGAAAACAGATTTGACCTTGTAAACCCCAGAAAGAGTTCTGTGGCCTCCCATGGGTCTCCAAACTACATTTTGAGAATACTGTCCTAGGATTAAGCCTTCAATAGCATTCAAGTGGCTATATTTCATTACGACCATGAGTCTATTTATGGGGTCTGGCTGATCTAAGAAAGTAACAGACCAAGGATAAATAGTAAATTTGGATATGAAAGACCAAGAACATGCTGAAAGTCCTAACACAGAAGGGAAGTTCACAGTGAAGTAATAATGGAAAAGCTGGTAGATAAGAGAAAAAGTAAACAAGATTACAATCATTTAAAAGTAAACAAGAACCCTGATCCTGGGGCAGAGACTATCTCCCCTAAGCCATATCTTTAAATATTCCTCTCCATCTGGGTGATTTCTGGTCCACAGAAGAGTTAGAGCTTTGTAAGTGAATCCAGTCATTCAGGGTAACAGCAAGGGCCTAAGATTATCTCCTAAGTAAAATTAACTGTAATTTCCTGGAAGTGCATTTAATGTCTGTAAATAAAAGTACTTATTAAATTTACAGTAAGAGTATCAGTAGTAGTGGTTGCAAAGTTTAGGAAGTTATGTTTTTAACATCTATAATCACATTTTTTATTTCCTATGATAGTAAAAGTAACATCTAATATCTTTAATTTAATGATTTTAGTTCCTGGAGTCCAAGTATGTACAAGATCTACAATGGTAGCACTTTCCGTATCTATGGTTACAGCTAGGATTGCTTTAGAAGTGATAATACTTTCAGGATGTGTAATAGTGAATTGCTATATTGGTAGCCATGGTATGTGGAAAAGTCCATAGGAAAATAAGGCATGATTGTTAACATTACTAATTAAATAATTACTATGATATTAACAACTGTTGCTATAGTGGCCATGTGAGTGCCACGTAGCACCAGTGTTCTCAGTTATGGTATCATGTCCTGTAACCCAAGAACAAGTTAGGTTACTTCAATAACTACATCTAAAGCAATAGTATTTACAGAGCCTAATATGATATTACCTGAGATACCAAAATCATCTGTGAAGTCTCTAGCAAGGATATATAAAATATCTACAGTTTAATCGATAGGGCTGTAGGGGTTATAATTTTTAAAATAGCAGTATATATTCTGGCTGCAGAAGAAGTATCCACAGCTTCTTCAATTACACTTATAAAAGTAGTCATGGATGCATCTTTAAACATATCTGCCATGTCTACAGTGTTTCAAGTAGCCATATCTATATAAGCTAGTGTTAATATCTATGAAAACTTATGTAGCTTAAGATCATATATCTTTAATCGATTTTTTATATCTTTAATAGTTGTTTTAAAGAGATGTCTGTAGTAATTATCCTGCTTTGAGTAGTAATCATGGAACTAGAGTAGCATTTTTGACATTTGCAATATAAGTTGATATGGTAGCAGAAGCATTCATTGTTGTTCTATCAAGAATGGTAGTATTTAGAGCATATGTGGTAGTATTTATAATATCGGTGGTAGCATTAGTTGCAATAAGAGGTAAATGACTGACTGTAGAGTTTGTTGTTACCTGATAGTGAGTTGCTGTGTCTGGAAGAGCGGTCATTAAAATAGTAACTAATGCTATTGTGGTATTTGGAATAGAAACATGTGTGGTGTTACCTGGAACAGTGCTAGAGTTATTTGCATCGGTAATATTTACTGCATTCCCTGTACTATTTCGGGTATTGGTGATGGGGACAGCTGTGGTATTCGTGCTAATAGTGTAAATATCTGTAGAAGGAGTAGACATTGTAGGAATAGTATTACTAGTACTATTACCACCAGATATTGTAGGGAAAGGAGAACTGGTAATAGGAGTATGGTTGCCAGTGCTAACAACATCAGCACTTATAGGAGAAGTGGTTACCATAGCAACAGTAGTGTTCATAGCATGAGTACTTACAGAAAAAGTAGTCATAATAGGAAAACTATTGCTAGTACTATCAGCACTACTATTTGTAGAAGGAGTAGTTGTAATTGGAACAGCATTATTGGTGCTAGTACTATCAGTGCTTGTTGGAGAAAGAGTAGTGGCAATTCGAACAGTAGTATTGGTGCTAGCATCAGTATTACTTGTTGGGAAAGGAGTGGTTATGATAGGAAGAGTAGTACTAGTGCTAGCAGTACTTATAGGGGAAAGCACAGTGGTATTAGTAACAGCAGTACTAGTTGTAACTTCAATAGTGCTTGCTGGGAAGGGAGTGCTTGTGATAGGAAGGGTAGTACTAGTGCTAGCAGTAGGGGTACTTATATGGGATGGTGTAGTGGTACTAGGAACAGTAGTACTACTCGTAACTTCAGTAGCACTTGTTGGGAAAGGAGTGCCTGTGATAAGAAGAGTACTAGTACTAGCAGTAGTGCTTGTGGGGGAAGGTGTAGTAGTATCAGGAAAAGTAGTACTAGTGGTAACTCCAGTAGTACGTGTTGGGGAAGGAGTGCTTGTGATAGGAAGAGTACTACTACTAACGATAGTACTTGTGGGGGTAGGTGTAGTGGTATTAGGAACAGTAGTACTAGTGGTAGCTCCAGTAGTACCTGTTGGGAAAGGAGTACTTGTGATAGGAAGAGTACTACTACTAACGATAATGCTTGTGGGGGTAGGTGTAGTGGTATTAGGAACAGTAGGACTAGTGGTAACTCCAGTAGTACGTGTTGGGGAAGGAGTGCTTGTGATAGGAAGAGTACTACTACTAACGATAGTGCTTGTGGGGG